CTATTTTTGAAAGAACTTCAAAGACATTAAGTATATTCTTTTCTTACTTTTTTTTTGATCAACATGATTTAAGTGTGCCCCGGAAGTTTAACTATAGGTGTTACAATCTCTTGGGTGCCTGATTCCCTCCTGCCACTCATGTGTCATGAGGTTCCCTGGTTTCTAAATTGGCACTACATTTTCTCCCTTATCTTGCTTAATTTGCATTATTACTTTTGTTACCTGGTATTTTTTTAAGATTGTTTACTATCTACCTCTTCTTAACAGAAAGAGGGCCTTGCTTCTGATTCACTGATGCATCTCCAGTACCTAGAAGATTGCCTGGCCTAGAGGAATATACAAAACGACTGAGCAGGACCCCAAGGACATCTTTTTCATAACCACAACATGTAATAGCCCTGCACTCACTGATCGACAAACACACATCTCGGGTTAACAGTAGCCACACACGATTATGACTCAGCTTCTTTTTTATTTTTTTGAGACAGTCTCACTTTGTTGCCCAGGACAGAGTGCCATGGTATCATCACAGCTCATTGCAGGCTTCATCTCCTGAGGTCAAACAAGCTTCCTACCTCAGTCTCTTGTGTAGCTGGGACTGCACGTGCCTGCTATCTTGTTTAAGTATTTAAAAATTTCTTTTTGCAGAGACGTGGTCTCACTAAGTTGTCCAGGCTGGTCTCAAACTTCTGACCTCAAGCAATACTCCTGTCTTGGCCTCCCAAAGTGCTGGGATTACAGGCCAGAGCCATCTCACCACGCCCCCCCCCCCAAGCTTAATTTTTTTTTTTCTTGCAGTTTTTGGCTGGGGCTGGGTTTAAACCCGCCACCTCCAGCATATGGGGCAAGTGTCCTACTCCTTTGAGCCACAGGCGCCACCCCCCAGCTTCTTTTTATTTGTGTATGAACCAGGGTGTGGGAAAAGAATTAAGTTTTTTTTTTCCTTCTTCTAATACCCTTCCACAACTCTTATTTTCTTTAAGCTGGCTGAGTTTACCTTTGTGAGTAATTAAATGGGTCTTTTTCTATTTTTTTAACGGGTCTTTTTCTAAGCCTTCCTTTTTGAAGCATGTAAGCCATAAATACAAGGCTTTTTAAAATCTAACACAAGATGCCAGAATGCAGCAACCACCCAACTGGTCTTCCTGCTCATTCTCTATAAGGGAAGCAGAATGAACTTCAAGTACAGTCCATGTATTACTCCACACAGCAGTAACTTGTTTTTGATAAACTCTGTTCCCAAGAACAAAAAAAGTATCCACATTTAATCAAACTCAATCTTAGTTTATTAGTTAAGAAGAAAATGGTGAACCTCACTCCAGCCTACGTATGCTAATCTCACTGCCAATCACTTTTATAAAAAAGAGCAACTCTCTTTCTTGCAGAATATGACAAACTCCTCCTGAGTTAAAGTTGATCTGAGATGACAGTTTTGTACTCTTGACTTTAATTACACAAGTCCTCCTTCGACATCCACAGCTGCCAGGTCCTATCTGAAAGAACCCTCAGCGTCTTCTGGTGCAGTGATTTCCAATGTGCGGTAATTGTCTGGGCATACTTAACCCAACACATTCTAACGTCATTTTGATTAGGAGGAATGGAACTTTCAGATTAGAATATTCCGTAATTTTGTAAGCAATACAACAAAAATGCAAAAAGTGTCCTTTTGGGGGGGGCACCCCGATATTTAAGGTGACTGACAGGGCCAGGCCTCCCCCCCAAGTCAGAGCAGCCCTGCTCTGTTCTGTTGTTTTTGTTTTGTTTTAAAGTTATTTTCTCATGAGGACTCCTCTGAAGAAGTTCTTTCTACTCTTAAGTTACATCACCTCTTAGGGGCCTCTTTTCCAGCTTCAAGGCCGTACAATTGGAATCTCAAGAGTCTTACTGATACATTTTTTAATACTGATAATTATTTTGTAGGACCATAAATAGAGAAATGATAGGAGACTATGAATGGGCAGTAACTCACAAGTAGAATGTGGATTGTTTTTTCAAAATTTTAGATATGAACTTTATTTTCTTTCATTTTCCATTTTTTCCAAAGGAAAAGTGGCTTTGATTTGAACTTTCTTTGTAATGCATGTGTTTTTCCTAAACAGCGAGTCTGGTTTCAAAAATTTAGATAAAGTGAATTACAGTTGAAGATTTATTATAGCAAAACCATTATTTAATAAGACTTTTAAATTAATAGTGGTAAAATAGTTTTCCCTCCCAAACCCTAGGAGAAAAAGCCAAAGAGTTTTCTACAGGCTGTGTTAAAAACTTCACTACTGAAAGAGATTTTCAGTATCATATTACTGAAACTGTTACTATAAAATTAGTTTACATTCTTTCATGACAGTTAAGAATAATGAACAGAATACTTGCACGATCATATTTTTGAAATATATTACCAAGAGATACCTGTGCTGTTACATCACATTTAACAACAGTTTACACAGCTTTAAACATTACAGAGTCAAAGAGGATTCTCCTGAAACAAATGTGCAGAGTGGATAAGAACAAATGATGCAGTATTTTTATTTTACTCTAATGTTTACTTAACCTTGACAGACGGTTAACTCAAATTTTGTAAGACATAGTGTAATAATCACAGGTAAGAGTTAACTATTCAGTTTCAACAACATACGAAAGGTTTAAAAAGCCTAATGAGGTAATCCTTTTGTCCTCATTGCTGCCTTAAAGTAAAACATAAAGCCTCAATAGTGTATCAAAGAACTAACATTACTTCCTACTTAAAATTTCACACTCCTTATGGGTCCATTTATTTTAATATAAAGTGACCGTAACATTCCAAAGAAAGGTTTGGTAGGCAATACCTATAATTACATAAATGTTAAATAGCTGCTTCAGACAAGAACCTCTTTGATGCTGAAGCAATTCATTTTATAGGCTACTTAATATTTCTTTCATACCTGGGACACATAATTAATAGTAGCACTGGGAAAGGCCAATTTTTTAAAAAGATGACTTTTGAAAATTAATATATTAATTTTAACATAAGTTATACATGATTTGGTTAAAAAATCCAGTGATACAAATGTGTGTGCAGTAAAACAAAAATCACTTTTTTGTCTCCCAGATTCACTTATTAGAATCAACTTTTAAAAATTTCTTGAATCTTTATAGATCAATTCTCACCATTAATTAGCACACACCACAGGAGACTTAAAAATGGCTTTCTTTCTTTCTCCTAAGCCTACATTTATTTATCTTGAACTTTAAAAATACTACAGCATGGAAAAGTAGTGTAGGCTGGGTAACGTTTAAAAACAAAACAAAACACAAAACCGGACGCTGTATGGTGTTCATCACAGCCCTGCCATTCCCAGGCAGAATCCTGAGCTGTGCACCTGCAAGCTTCCGCGCGGTGGCCGGAGGGGGCAGTGTGCACCACAGCAGAGGCTCAGGCAGGAGAGCCGCAAATCCCTTCACCGTTGCAGGACCATCTACTGAGACTGCCCGATCCGGCCCAGTTTTGCCAAGTTCTGCAGGTAAAGCGTGTAACAGACCTGCGTGATTCCTCGCGGGAGGGGGGGAGCTGCTCTCAGGGGCCGCTGCTAACCCCACCGTGAGCACAATCAGAAAACATCACATCCTATGCACGAGATTTGTCAAAAGAGCAAAACAAAAGGCTTAACTTCCAAAGAAGGTTTATATAAATTAGGATTTACATATATGAAAACTATATGATTAACCTCCGAGTTTAGTTGTAATTTAAGAATCACTATGTATTTTACGGATTGAATGAAATATTCCAGCTAGAAAATCCTAGATTACCTTAGTACCAGTTGTACATGTAAGTAGAGTAGATTGTAGAAATTAAAGTGCTGAAATATCAGTTATGAATTTAGGAATATTTAGAATAATTTGTTCCATTAAAATTAAAAGCAAAATTACACCAAACTTTCTAATAAATCTGAAAAAAGTGTTAATAATGGAGTCAGAAAAACACCAAAATCTGTACTGTCCAAGTATTAACGTACAGTAACAAGCTTCACACGACTCTCAACGCGATGTCTTACCTCTCCCCTAAATATAAAAAAATCTTATGCTGCAGCAAATATATAGATAATTCAATTGTCAATTTAAATCAGCAGGAGAAAAAGGTAAGTCTTCTATTGAGTGGTGGTGCTGTTTTCCCTCTAGAATTGAAGATAGGATTTATTCCGGTCTGGTTTCAGACGCAACTTTGCTATCTCAATCTCAATTACCCACGCATAAAAATTTTTATCGAAAATAACACTTCCTGGGAAATGGAAAGCGGCTAGAGCGCGTTTTAATTTCTAGTACGACAAATTACATTCAGCCCCAGCGGCAGGGTATTCCGAGACCTACGGAGGGAGCGGGAGCGCGGTTCCCGGGAGCGTCTGGGCAACACCCGGGGCACGGCCCGCGGCGGCCGCTCTCCTTCTCCGGGCCGGGACCGCGGCCCCGCGCCGCCCCCGGAGCCCGCAGTGGTGCCGCAGCCTCGGCGGCCGCAGCAGGTGGGACCCAGCCGGCCGGGCAGGCCCCGTTCCGTGGCCGGCCACAGCGAAGTGTGGGCGCCGCGTAGATTTTCTAAACCGGCCCCGCGACGTCTCGGTTAGAGCGTTTACGGTCTGCGTGGAATTACTTTTTGCCATTAGGCTCCGGGCAAGCTCGGCCTTCGCTTCACGGGCAGGAAGCGCACAACTTTGCAAAGCGAGGCGCGGAATTCCGAGAAGAGGCGCGAGGGCGCAGCGGGGCCTCCCCGCCGCCGCCTCCCGGCTCGACTCCCCTCCCGGACAATCCCCCGCGAGAGCCGGCCGAACGTACGGAGCCGGAGGAGGTGCGCGGGGGAGCGAGAGGATTCGGGCCGGGCGCGGGCGCCAGAGCCCCGCGGTCCGCTCGGAGCTGCCGCGAGCCGGGCTAGACAAAGGCGCGTCGGCGCCCGGCGCGGGGAAGGGACGCGGAGGCGCGGAGGGCGGCGAGCCGGCCTCGGCCCGTAGGGGGCGCCGTCCGCGGCCCCGACCGCTTACCTTTGAGGGCCGAGCACAGCCGCTCCAGGGCCATGTTCCCGAGCGGCCCGGCGCTTCGCGAGGGCTGGGGTGGCAGCGGCGGAGGCGCGTGGCTCACGGCCCGGCGCGGCAGCGGCCCCGCTCCGTACCCATCGCCCGTCACCAGGCTGCCTCCCCGCGGGGAAGGGCTCAGGTCCTGCGGCCCGCCATGCCCGAGCCCCCCGGCGGGCTCCCGCTTGGCCTGAGCCCCCCGACGGGCGCCGCCTCCTGCGCCGCCGCGCGCAGTCCCATCCACCGCCTGGGAGCCGAGGAGCGCTGGCGTGCGGCCCCGGACAGGTGGACGGCTCTACCCGCGGCCGCGGCGCGGGATCCGCTGAAGTGGCGGGCGCGGGGCGCCCAGGCTCATTTAAGCAGGGAGCGCGAGCGCCGCGTGCCGGCCGCGCCGTGTGCGCATGTGCGCGCCCTCGCCCCGCCCCGCCCTCGTGCCCCTCGCGCCCCTCCCCGCCAATGGCCTCGCGAGCCCGCCACGGCCTCGCGCCCCGGACGGCGGCCGCTGGGGCAGGGTCGACCCGTGGGTTCGGGCTTGGGGAGGTGGGCCCGGGGTTGAGGGGAACTGTGTCCAGTCCCCGCCGCCGCAGGGCGCCCGCCGTGAGCGGGGTGAGCCCTACCCGATGCCCAGTCCCAGCTCGGCAGTCCTCGCCCACCTGCTCTCTCTCCGTCGCCTTCACAGACGGAGAGGGGCACGGAGCCCCTCGTTCCCTGGGGCCTCAGTTCAAGGTCAAAAGTATGCCCAGCTCAGCCTCACTTGACCTCAGGCGGGGAGGGGGCGGACCTGAGTGGAGAGCCCGAGGCTTCCGCTGCCCTCCCGCCGGCGAGGGAGCCTGACCCGCAGGGCCAGGCACAGAGCAGGCCCTGCACTCCGCGACCCTTAGTGCTCAGGTTCACTCTCGTGAGGTAGTAGGCGTTTTAAGAGGAGGGGTAAATGGAGACCAGGGAGGTTAATTCATTCGCTTAGACCCACACAGGCGGAGCCAGGGTTGACCGGGAATCTGCTCCTGGAGACTGCCTCGTACTCACTAAGCTGATGGGTAGCTTAATTCCACTGATAAAAATCGCCAAATTCATTAACAAGTGAGTAGTTTGTGGTATTAACGATCTTGTTTTATTTTCTCAATAGTAGTTACTATGTTCTGAAATTACTTTGCTCATTTATGTGTTAATGCACCCCATTAAACATTTACCCCATTAAATATATATAACTTTCACCCCATTAAAATATAAGTTACTGCAGGGGGCGACTACAATGGTATTTTTCACTCAACACGTAAATGTTTGTCTTGCCAATTATGGCCAAGGACGATGTTAGGCAACTGTGATCGTTTTTGCCTGTATCCCTCCAAGAAAGGCAAAAATATGAAAGTAATTGACAAGATCAACAAATGAAAAATGTATTTGTCATCAGTTAATATCAAGGTGTTTAGCCCTTTGTTACGGGGCGGGGGGGGTATAAAAAAAGAGATATAAGTTTGAGTTCCTAGAAGCAATCACAGTTAAATTAAGATTGTGCACAGGAACCAACTAGTAAGTAAAACAATAAAGAAACTACTGACTAGGACAGTACGAGGACTATTAGGTCTTAATCACAGACAAGGGTGGACAAAAAGAATTGGGAGGAAGGGGTCCTGTCAGCTTTTGGAAAATAAATAGGTTCTTGATAAATAATTGTTGACTGAAGGAAAAATCAGCGTGTGTGATGTCATCAGAGAATGAAGGAGCGGATGCAGAGTGTAAAGGCTTTATTTACCTGGCAGGTGGAGAATGCGTCAGGCGCAGGGGAGCCTCTGATCAAATGTGGAGCAAGGGTTGGTTTTGGTATTAAAAATAAGGTTAAACATGATGGGCTTTGATTATGCAGATGCTTGCCCGAATGCTAGGCCCAGGAATCTGCTCTTGATTCAGGAGGCGAGAGAAGTAGTTTTTAATGGTGGAGTAATGAAGTTCTGGGAAGATTAGTGTGGCGGATGAGTTGAGGATATAATAAAAGAGGAGAGATTAGCACAATCATGGTAATCCAAAAGGATTAGTAGCTCTCACTGATAGCTACTAATATGTTGGCCTGGGAATAGATTCCAGTTGGGAATGTTCATTTTGTGGCTTCTGGTCAAGTCACCTATGTTTTAGATGCGCTGGTGTAATTGTCTATAGTAGGTTTTTCCAGGAATGTAGGAAAGCACAGATCATAGCTGAGACGACTGTGTGATCTCATGTTAGCTAAGTCAAAAGGAGAGCAGTTTGCATCTCTGTCATCTGGAGAGTTATGTATTTGAATTATTATTTTCCTGGAAGACCACCTGGTAGCACCCAGTCTGTTTCCAGATCAGCTGCCAGTTTCTGCGTGATTGAGGATTCTGCTTTTATTGCATTTGGCCCAGTCTTCCAGCCATAGTCTCTTGAACGCCTCATCAGATTATTCCTATATTTGATTTTTCTCTGACCAAGTCTCATGTTGCCCTTGAATTGTGTTACATGGTATTGATTTATTAGAATGAATCATTTTTTAAAATGAAATATTTTATCAATGTTTATATACTTAACATTTTTGTTGTCTCTCTGTTTTGCTATGGTTTGGTAGTGCTAACATTTTATTAAATGATAGCCTAGGAATAGTTATTGTTTAGAGATTGTTATTTGCTCAATGTTTGTGTGCCCTTAAAGTTTATATGTTGAAGCTCTTACCTGCCCTGTGGCTGTATTTGGAGATGAGATCCTCTAAGGAAGTCATTAAGGTCACGTGAGGTCGTAAGAATGGGGCCCTGATAGAATTAGTGTCCTTACAAGAGTAGAGCCTGAAGAGCTTGTTCTCTCTCTTCGTAAATAGGTACCAAGGAAAGGCCGTAGCAAGCAGGTTGCGTCTACAAGCTAGGAAGAGAGCCCTCATCAGAAACTGAATTGGCCAGTCTTACAGTCTCCAGAACTATGAGAAAAGATATCTGTTGTTCTGTTGTTTAAGCCACCAAGCCTGGTGTTTTGTTGTGGCAGCCCAAGTCAGGTAATACAGAGATATAACTAAGATAGAAGAATTTAGAAATAACCAAACTGTTTTGTACAGAAAATCTATCTGTAGTAAAACATAGGTCTCAAACAGCTTTAACATAGACAGATATGGCTATAATAATGGTTAAACTTAGTGAAAAAAAAATCAGATTCTCAGTTTATTTTATAAACAATAAAGACTTCCTTGTTTATTACACAACTGTAGGATGTTTTTAGGGAAGGAAGAGGAAAATTATAATTTTTTAATGCACTGTATTAGTCTGCTTAGGGTGCTGAGACAGAATACTATTGACTGGGTGGCTTAAACAGAAATTTAATTTCTCACATTTAAGAGGTTGGTTGGTCTTTGATGAGGCTTCTTTCCTGGCTTGCAGACTACCACTTTCTCACTGCATTTGGTGTGGACTCCTGGTGTCTCTTCCTCTTCTGACATAAGGACAACATTTCTGTTGGGTTAGGGTCTGACCCTTATGACCTCATGTAACCTCACTTTAATCTCATTAAAGGCCCTGTCTACAAATACAGTCCCATGGAGAGTTGGGATTTCAACACATGAATTGGTGGGGGGACACAATTCAGTCCGTAAAATGCATGGACCAAAATTATTCCTGTGGGAATGATACTGAAAGCAAGGGGCCTCCAAGGAGTCGAAATAGTTCTTTTAATAACACTGTCTCCTAAACTTCTGAACTTCTGATTAGGGTAGGATTTTAAGAAATACTTCCTTAGCTGGGCATGGTGGCTCATGCCTATAACCCTAGCGTGCTAGGAGATTGCTTGTCAGGAGACTGAGGTTGCAGGAAACTGTGATGATGGCACTGCACTCTACCCAGGGTGACAGAGCAGGACTCTGCCTCAAAAAAAAAAAAAAAAATAGAAAGTATTGCTCCTCTAGTAATACCTTTGGGAATAATAAAAGCAAAAGTGAAAAAATAAATTTTAAAAAATTGCCTCCTGGGCAGCACCTGTGGCTCAGTGTGTAGGGCATTGGCCCCATATACCGAGGGTGGCGGGTTCAAAACTGGCCCAGGCCAAACTGCAACAAAAAGAAATAGCCAGGCATTGTGGCAGGCCCCTGTATTCCCAGCTAATGGGGAGGCTGAGGCAAGAGAATCAAGAGCTGGAGGTTGCTGTGAACTGTGATGTCACAGCACTCTCTGAGGGCGACAAACTGAGACTCTGTCTCTAAAAAAAAAAAAAAATTGCCTCCTAGTACTAAAGTATTTCAGCTTTACCAGGAAAATTGCAAACTGTTAAAAAATTTCTGGTCGTCAGTTACTTTGATTTGATAGTGAAACACTAAGAAAGGTCCTAATTAGTCATCTGCTGTGTAATGACGCTGTGGTCAGAGATGGACTGCGGAGGGTCCCAGGAGACCACAGAGGTCCCATGAGATTCTAATACCACATATTTGCTGTGTATTTTCTATGCTTAGATAGCCTCAGATGCACACATGTGTACCACGTGCTGGAGCTGCCTGCAGTTTTCTGCACAGTAACGTGCTGTCCAGGTTGGCAGCCCCAGAGCCAAGGCCAACAGAGCGTATCCTGATCATGAAGGGATGGCCTGCAGTGTATTTCTTAAAGTTGCCAACAAAATGGGATCTTTTTCTTAAAAGCCAAATCTCATTTGAAAGGGGATGTGTTTACTTTATGCGTAAACGTACTTACTACAAATGCTAGTTTATTGGTGCAATATGAAACCATAGTTTTAAAGTGCAAAATTCTTACTATGGTTAATTGGAAATGTTTGCTAGATATAAAAATTTTTTACAAGTTCATCTTATGGGCTAATGGACTGTGACTATCTATGTTGGTTGATGTGCGTGTGATTGGAATGCATATATACAACTATATATCAGTATTATCCAATTCTCATATTTGTATGAAAGGTAAATCAAAATTATTGCAGTATTAATAACAAATCTCAAACTATTTTTGTGCATAAACTGTGTCATCTAAGATTTGTAATGAAACTCCTGGTTCTAGACATAATCTATAAAAAGATCTTTGGAGAAGTTTACAAAGAATTTTAAATTGTGAAATATAATACATAGTCAGAAAAGTACTTAAAAGTACAGGAAATACTTAAAATATGTGTAGGAAGTTTAGTTGTAAATACTGCCCCCCATTAAGAAGTAAAACGTCCCCGGTACTGGAGCTGTCTGAGTGCCTCTGCCTGGTCATGACCTCTCAGTTCCCGGAACTGTTCTGGCTTCTATCATATCCTAGCATTTCTCTGTAGTTTTCTTCCTATAGGTGCGTCCTTAGACAATATCGTTTAATTTTTCCTATTTCTGAACTTTATATGTGT